ATATATGTACATATATGTATGCAATTATGCTTGTGGGTGTGTATATACATTAAAAAGGAGCGAGATCGGACGTGGTGAATGGGACAATTCAAGATTGCTTTCTAAGCGCCGTAGATATGCACGCGTACCTTTGTTTGTGTTTGTGTGTGTGTGTGTGGGCGTCGTTACTCCCGTGATGTTTTTTGTCGGTTTCTTTTATTTTGTTACTCATTTATTTTTGATGAACGGAAGAATGCAAACGAAAGAAACGTGCGGTGAGGGGATGAGGAAGAGGGGGAAAAAGGGAGGGAAACGAAAAGAAATAAAGCCTTTCCGTCCCCTTTTAACTTGTGCGTTGAGCTTGTTTATTTTTGGCCCTGTTTTTTTCTTCTTGTGTGTTTGCAGCGGCGGCCCCCGCATCAATCACAGTTTTTTTCCTCTAAATCGGTTTCCCCCGCAACGCTGCACGCACACCACACGCAGGGCACTTTGGGGGTAGTGAAACGCGTGAGAGCCGACCCGCCGTTGACGACGCTGAGGGCTATTGGCCGGCACCCACCGGCGGCAGCACGACGAAGGCTGCGGGAGAGACACGCACCCCGCGCCCCCGCCGACCTTTTTTTTCTTTTTTTTTCCCCCTTTTTACATTCGTGTGTTCTATGCTCGACGCCTTGGCACCCACGACCGAAAACGAAAAAAAAAATCGAAAATAGGGGTGAGTCAAACGCACTGCCGCGAAGTTCTCTAGCTCTCGCCTGCCCTCGGGATCCCCCCATTTTCCCTTATAACCTACGCCGCCGTTGCCGTCGCCCAGGCGCCAGGGAGAAGAGAAGCCCTAACACTAAGCCTTTTCTCCCTGCGCGAAAGGACAAGGACGAAGCAGCTGTCGTGTGTGTTCTCTCTTTAAGTATCCCTCCCCCCGCTGGCGACGCGGGGTGGAGGAGTTTTGCTGGGGGTGTTGTATGCGCTACGGCGCCGCGGGTTCACGCGGGGTGTGCGACGAGGCATTTAGAGCAACAGCGCGGAAATGCGAAATGAATGGAAACTAGCGGAGTCCCAAGGGAGTAGGCAGAAATAAGCGTGGCGGACGAAGCAAACGACAATGACTTGCAAACTAAGCTATAATGAGAAAAGCACAAATACAAAGAAAAAACAATAACGAGAAGAATCAAATACGAAAATATTTATTGACCATTTAAAAAGAGAGAGAGAGATGCGAAGAGCGTCTGGTATGAGTCAGATATTGAGTCGATAAAGGCGGAGTAGCGGTCCGGGGATCTGTATCAGTGTGAATTTGTTTGTGTTTGTTTGTTTCTACAATTTCCGAAGCTTCATTTTATCACTTCTCTCTCTCTCTCTCTGCTTCTGTTTCTGTGTGCTTTCCACTTGGGCGACGTAGTGTAGCGTGGCGAACATCTCCGTGCGAGCGAGGGCTGGTGCCCCAGAGAAAGTGACAAGTTGCACTTGCCGGGGCGTTTCTTTCGTTATATTTTGCGACGGTTTATTAAATTTTCCCCTCTGCGTAGAGAAACCTGAGATTGGCGTGGTCCGGAGACATGTTTTACAGTCGTGCTGTCATTCTGCGCACGGCGGCGTCGTCATACTCTTCGCGTGCCGCGAGTAGTGCCTGCGCCTCCCCCGCTTCACCCCACGAGGTGCTCGGCGTGGCGACAAGCGCCCCCTTCGAGGAGGTAAAGGCGCGCTACCAGGAGCTCACGCGTCGCTACCATCCGGACATGCCGCACGGGGACCCAGCGAAGTTCCGCGAGATCAACACCGCCTACCGTGCGTTGCGTGCGGCATGGCGAGAAAAAAAAGCGCAGACCATCGACCCCGAGTCATTCTGGTCGGAGCGCAATCGCAGAAGTAGGGACGACTACACGAGTAGCCAGTCGCAAAGCAGGGAGCGACGGGACGGTCGCGCCAAGAAGGGGCAGAGTGACGGTTTTGTGCGGGAGATGTTGTGGATGTACGAATCGTACGAATTAGCGATCGTGCTGGGCGCGGCGGTGGCAGTTCTCCTCGTTGCCGCAGAACGCTATGTGCTCGTGCTTCGCATGACGCGCGAGAAGCGTGCACGGATCCGGGCCATGGACGAAGGCCTGCCGCCAAACATGCCGCTGGTCGTTGATGACGAGATGCTGCACAAGTACAGTGAGCGTGTGCCGAGGGCAGAGATTGAGATTGACAACGCTATGGTGAAGGAGGAGGCGTACCACCGGCGCGCCACCCAGCGACGCTTTGAGGACTTCCGTGAGTTTCTCTTCGTGTACAACCCGGATGGCGTGGCCTCGCGGAAGGTGACCACCAAGCGCTTCAGCATCCAGTACCTTGACGAGGCCCTCATCCCGAGCCGATGCACCCACGTGTGGGAGTTCGACTCGGAGCTGCGAAATAAACAGTATGAGACGATAGTGAAGGAGGTCGAGGACACCCTCGGCGCGACGCCGTGGGCAGCGCCCGATGCGCAATACATTGCTCCTCTTGTGGCGAAGGGGCTTGCAATTATTCCCATGAATTCCCCTGATACTGCCAAGTGGACGTTTCTCGAGTACAAGGACATGGACAAAAATGGGGAGACTTCATGTCTGATGGCGCTGAAGAACAACCGCTTTGGGCGCCTTGGCATGTGTCAGCGGGTGACAGTAACAGGAAGTAGCAAACTTAGCCCAAGGTTGGTGAAGAAGCAGGAGGCGGAGCTGCAAAGTGGAGCACTGAGGAAAAAGAGCCTCATCCGTGGAGGAAAGCTGCCCGTAAAAGACATGTCGATACCCCTTGAGCAAATGAAACTATAGGTGGGTGTGCATTGCCACACAATAGCTAGGGAATATATATATATATATGCGTGTGTGTAGGAACGCACACCTGCTTTAGTAAGTATTTATATTTGTTGTTCGCACTTCTCTTTGCAACCACCACGTGCAGAATTAACCTGCCGGAACCTGCTGAAGGAATAAGGCGAGATCAACAAACACAAATAAAATGGCAAGTATAGGTAGAATGCCGGCAACGTTTACTATAAACCATTTACTGTCCTCCTCCTCCCCGCTTGAAATACGTTTCAAAAGTGGGGTGACTTGGTGGGTGCGTGGGAGCAGTGAAACGGCTACACTAGCAAAAAGGGTTTTATGGGGGAAGGGGGTGGGGAGCGCGAGGGAAAGTATTGCCTGTTGGCTTCTCTCACTGAGCTCCGCGCTGCGCTTTTTTTTTTTTTAAGAAACTCGTGGGAACGAAGGACGCGTCAATGAGCTTCTGGTGGTGTTAGCGCGTCTTTTTTTTTTCTTGCTTTTTGGCCTTGACTCCCCTGTTTTCCTTCTCTATGGTTTGGTCACAGGTCTCCACACCACGCGGCGGAGAAAAGCGGGCGCGGTTTATCATTTTTCTGCTGTCACGCTCCACGCGGCGGGGCCCGGCGACTGTCGGGGCCAACGGCTCCACTGACTCCGTTCGCAATGGGCCCCGTGTCGCCGGAAACTCTTCTGGGAACTTAACACAGATTTTGTGTATCTCGCCGTCCCTGTTTTGTACCGCCCACTCCTCTGTGGTCGAAACTACCGGTAGCAACGACGCAACAGAGGCAGTTTCAGGCGCAGTACGATAGCTCCTTGTCACTATTCACTTTTCCCCACGCAGACTCGTGAGCGTAGTAACGGTGAGAAAAGCAAAGAAAACAAAAACAAGACAAATTAGGAACGCCCTCGGCGCACCCCGCCAGGCCCACCAGCTACCACGTGAAGCGTATACCTTCAGTCTTCGCGGAGGTCGTTCTACTGGGCCCAGAGGTGCGATGCTGCCGCGTCCGCGGACGACGGCGGCGGCGGTTGCGCCGTGCACGGCACAAGAACACCGCCGACCAAGCAACAGGACGTGATGATCCATGCAAGCACTAAATCGACACTGAGTCGGAAAGCACCTCGTGACGCACTTGTGACAGACCATGGAGAGGCTCGAGCGACAACGTCGCCGGGCACTGATCCCACACGGACACGCGCGCGCCCCTCCCTTTGCCCAGTCCCTCTACTTGCTGCGCTGTAGAACGATGATTTTACTCATGATGCGTCAGGACACACAGCCGTGCGTGACTGCCGGATTCACACGCAACGCCGTAAGCAGTATGACCCCGCCCACCACCTTCTTCTCCCTCCCTTTCTT